ATTCCAGGGACACTTAAAAAAAAAAAAAAAAAAAAAAAAATTATATATATAATCTAAAAAAAAGAAACAGTTTACAGTTTTATTAAGTTGAAATGGTTTTAATCAGAACTGAATCTTAAATTTGGCTGAAAAAGATTTTTTTTAAGGATTTCAACCAGAACTAAAGATTTATCTGTAAGTTTCATAAAGAATGAGAAGTGCTGCCTTCAGCAACACATACACTAAAATTGGAACGATACAGAGAAGATTAGCAAATTTAAAATTAAAAAAAAAAAAAGAATGAGAAGTTACTCAAAGGAAATATAAAACAAAGGTGACTGAATACCTAATTATCTTGATGAGCTCACTCATGTTGACATGGTCAGGTACAAGGAACTTCGTTTTATCCAGGACAGGAAGCTGCTTCTCACCCTTGTATCGTTCTATTATCACCTAGAAAAGAAGCCAGAAGTGAATTTTAAAATAGTCATCAGGCCAGGCACAGTGGCACACGTCTGTAATCACAGCACTTAGAGGCTGAGTGAGGCGAACAGACGACCTGAGGTCAGGAGTTTGAGACCAGCCTGGTCAACACGGTAAAATCCTGTGTCTACTAAAAATACAAAAATTAGCCAGGTGTGGCAGCAGCTGCCTGCAATTCTAGCTATTCCAGATGCTGAGACAGGAGAACCGCTTGAACCTGGGAGATCCCACCACTGCACTCCAGGGATAGAGTGAGACTGTCTTCAAATAATAAAATAGTCATCAACAATGAAAAATATAGATAAAATGCCTCCTATGTTCTAACTGGCACATGCCAAAATGGGCTTTTTTTTGTTTTTGAGACGACGTCTCGCTCTATTGCCCAGGGTGGAGTGCAGTGGCGTGATCTTGGCTCACTGCAACCTTGGCCTCCAGGGTTCAAATGATTCTCCTGCCTTCAACCTCCTGAGTGGCTGGAACTACAGGTATGTGCCACCACGCCCAGCTAATTTTTGTATTTTTAGTAGAGAGGGGTTTCACCATATTGGTCAAGCTGGTCTTGAACTCCTGACCTTGTGATCCACCCGCCTCAGCATCCCAAAGTGTGAGATTACAGGCATGAGCCACCATGCCCAGCCCAAAATGGGCTTTAAAACAGCATTCATTAGTTTCCTCAAAGCTTTCCTGTGAAGAGCAACCATTTGCTAGCTTAGACATTCACCATTTACAAAATATGGAAGAGAGATGATATGGCTGCCACCAGGTAGGAAGAGGGGGAAGACACTTTGTTATGTGTCCTTTCATTCTGTTTGATTTTGGAACCATGAAAAATATATACCTAGTCAGAAAAAGACCTCAAGCCTTACAGAAGCAGAGAGGCTAGGGGCCAGCTTCAAGCACAAAACATCTGAAACTCCGTCAATTCCAATACTACCATTTCCTGAGATGAGGCTGAAGTTCTAATGAACGTAAATGCCTGTGTTTTAATAAATGTGTAAGTTGTTAATTATGGTAATATGCTCAATGTTTTTCCATACTAGAGACTTGTCTACTTGACATGAGAAAAATTTTAAGTATTTGACAAGGCAAGCAGAGACCATTATTAGCTGGTTCTAGGGACAAAGTTTGTGCATAATGACCTGGTACTTTCATTTTGATACAGTATTTCTTTAAATCAGGTTAAAAATACAAGTATTTGAACTATACAGGGAACAAAAATAGTTTCCATATTATGAATTTAAATTAATCCATTAGCTCCTCACCATACTTCCTTTCCATGGAGCAAAATTTTTTGTTTTTTTAGTTCTAGGCTGCTGTAATATCTGACCACAGATGGGCCTTTGAGTCTCATTAGCTTCTGTGTTTACTGAGTGCTGCAGACACCTTTATATACATTAATTCTTCTACCCTGTCACAACAAAGAGAAGTTGAATGCCAGGAATGAGCAATCTTTACATGCTTCTTTGGGAAACAAAAATGTGTATCTGTACATTGTTCCATTGTGTGAGACCTACATAAGGTTCTGTGTAAGGCTGAATCAAGCTGTCATCACCCTCCCTGTTAAGTTTGAGAGTTTTATCTAGCGGGCATGTTCAGACGTGTGATAGCCACAAGGAAATATCAGTGTGTAGACCCCACCTACTTGAGTTTAAGTGGTGGCAGAAATTAGAGGCAGTATGGCAATCTTGGGTCCTGAGGCCAGCCAGCGGCTCATGCCTATAATCCCAACGCTCTGAGAGATCAAGGTGGAGGACCACTTGAGCCCAGGAGTTTGAGATCAGCCTGGGTAACATAGCAAGACCCTGTCTCTACAAAAAAAAATTAGCCATGTGTGGTGACCTGCACCTCTAGTCCCAGCTAACGTAAGGGGCTGAGGAAGGAGGATTGCTTGAGTACAAGGTGGCTGAGACTGCAGTGAGCTATGATCTCACCACTGTACTCCAGCCTGGGAAACAGAGTGAGGCCCTGTCTCTTAAAACAAGGATACCTCCCTCTAGGTTGTGAAACTCACACCATGAGTTTGCCTGTCTGGTGATTCCTGTAGAAACCCCCGTCAAGTGGATGTACTTACGCAGTGTTCTCCTCTGTGTACATTCTTGACTAAAACCAAGGCCTGAGTACCTACCGGGATTTTGGTTGGATGCTGCTCTCGAATAAGTCGGACATCTTCTACTCTTTGTTCTGCAATGAAAGGAAGAGATAGAAGCCATTAATTATTAAGGGCCAGACAGCTTCTTACCAGCGCTACTGCTGGCCTTACATCCGAGTTCAGCTGTCCTTAGCTGTGGCATAGCAGAACAGTGAAGACACCTTTCCTAGAACACAAAACACTTCACATCTGATAAAGATTTGTATCTAAGGCCAAAGGCAATATAACAAACATAGCTCTATCAGGTGATAGGACACAGACCAGGAATATGGGACTAGTTTAAAGGAACTGGGAGCCCAAGTTTGCAGTCATACAAGGCAGATTCATGCATAAGATTCCCAATCCTTCCTCCAAAGACCAATACCACCTGTAATAGTCACTTCAACTTGTGTTGATTTTCCATAGTTTAAGTTGGAAATGGAATCTATTATATCCATTACAAATCAGGAAATGCAATATTCTCTTATAACTTCCAGCTTTTTAATGATATGGGCCTAAGAGAAAAGAAACTGCTCAAGAAGACGGAATATGAGGCTGGGCACAATGGCTCACACCTGTAATCCCGGCACTTTGGGAGGCTGAGGTGGGCAGAGTCAGGAGTTCAAGATCAGCCTGGCCAACACGGTGAAACCCCATCTCTACTAAAAAAAAACAAAACAAAAATTAAGCTGGGTTCAATGGCACATGCCTGTAATCCCAGCTACTTGGGAGGCTGAGGCAGGAGAATTGCTTGATCCTGGGACACGGAGGTTGCAGTGAGCAGAGATCATGCCACTACACTCCAGCCTGGCCAAC